TGTGTTGGAGTATTGAGAGCTGTGTTGGAGTATTGAGAGCTGTGTTGGAGTATTGAGAGCTGTGTTGGAGTATTGAGAGCTGTGTTGGAGTATTGAGAGCTGTGTTGGAGTATTGAGAGCTGTGTTGGAGTATTGAGGGCTGTGTTGGAGTATTGAGAGCTGTGTTGGAGTATTGAGGGCTGTGTTGGAGTATTGAGAGCTGTGTTGGAGTATTGAGGGTGTGTTGAGTATTGAGGGCTGTGTTGGAGTATTGAGAGCTGTGTTGGAGTATTGAGGGCTGTGTTGGAGTATTGAGAGCTGTGTTGGAGTATTGAGGGTGGTGTTGTAGTATTGAGGGCTGTGTTGGAGTATTGAGAGCTGTGTTTGAGTATTGAGGGCTGTGTTGGAGTATTGAGAGCTGTGTTGGAGTATTGAGAGCTGTGTTGTAGTATTGAGAGCTGTGTTGGAGTATTGAGGGTGGTGTTGTAGTATTGAGGGCTGTGTTGGAGTATTGAGGGCTGTGTTGGAGTATTGAGGGTGGTGTTGGAGTATTGAGGGCTGTGTTGGAGTATTGAGAGCTGTGTTGGAGTATTGAGAGCTGTGTTGTAGTATTGAGGGCTGTATTGGAGTATTGAGGGCTGTGTTGGAGTATTGAGGGCAGTGTTGGAGTATTGAGAGCTGTGTTGGAGTATTGAGGGCTGTGTTGGAGTATTCAGAGCTGTGTTTGAGTATTGAGGGCTGTGTTGTAGTATTGAGGGCTGTGTTGTAGTATTGAGGGCTGTGTTGGAGTATTGAGGGCTGTGTTGGAGTATTGAGGGCTGTGTTGTAGTATTGAGAGCTGTGTTGGAGTATTGAGGGCTGTGTTGGAGTATTGAGAGCTGTGTTGGAGTATTTAGGGCTGTGTTGGAGTATTCAGAGCTGTGTTTGAGTATTGAGGGCTGTGTTGGAGTACTGAGAGCTGTGTTGGAGTATTGAGAGCTGTGTTGTAGTATTGAGAGCTGTGTTGGAGTATTGAGGGTGGTGTTGTAGTATTGAGGGCTGTGTTGGAGTATTGAGAGCTGTGTTGGAGTATTGAGGGCTGTGTTGGAGTATTGAGGGCTGTGTTGGAGTATTGAGGGTGGTGTTGTAGTATTGAGGGCTGTGTTGGAGTATTGAGAGCTGTGTTGGAGTATTGAGAGCTGTGTTGGAGTATTGAGGGCTGTGTTGGAGTATTGAGGGCTGTATTGGAGTATTGAGGGCTGTGTTGGAGTATTGAGGGCTGTGTTGGAGTATTGAGAGCTGTGTTGGAGTATTGAGGGCTGTGTTGGAGTATTCAGAGCTGTGTTTGAGTATTGAGGGCTGTGTTGTAGTATTGAGGGCTGTGTTGGAGTATTGAGGGCTGTGTTGGAGTATTGAGGGCTGTGTTGGAGTATTGAGAGCTGTGTTGGAGTATTGAGGGCTGTGTTTGAGTATTGAGAGCTGTGTTGGAGTATTGAGGGCTGTGTTGGAGTATTGAGAGCTGTGTTGGAGTATTGAGGGCTGTGTTGGAGTATTCAGAGCTGTGTTGGAGTATTGAGAGCTGTGTTGTAGTATTGAGAGCTGTGTTGGAGTATTGAGGGTGGTGTTGTAGTATTGAGGGCTGTGTTGGAGTATTGAGAGCTGTGTTGGAGTATTGAGGGCTGTGTTGGAGTATTGAGGGCTGTGTTGGAGTATTGAGGGTGGTGTTGTAGTATTGAGGGCTGTGTTGGAGTATTGAGGGCTGTGTTGGAGTATTGAGAGCTGTGTTGGAGTATTGAGGGCTGTGTTGGAGTATTGAGGGCTGTGTTGGAGTATTGAGAGCTGTGTTGGAGTATTGAGAGCTGTGTTGGAGTATTGAGGGTGGTGTTGTAGTATTGAGGGCTGTGTTGGAGTATTGAGGGCTGTGTTGGAGTATTGAGAGCTGTGTTGGAGTATTGAGGGCTGTGTTGGAGTATTGAGGGCTGTGTTGGAGTATTGAGAGCTGTGTTGGAGTATTGAGAGCTGTGTTGTAGTATTAAGGGCTGTGTTGGACTATTGAGGGCTGTGTTGGACTATTGAGGGCTGTGTTGGACTATTGAGAGCTGTGTTGGAGTATTGAGAGCTGTGTTGGAGTATTGAGGGCTGTGTTGGAGTATTGAGGGCTGTGTTGTAGTATTGAGAGCTGTGTTGGAGTATTGAGGGCTGTGTTTGAGTATTGAGGGCTGTGTTGGAGTATTGAGAGCTGTGTTGGAGTATTGAGGGCTGTGTTGTAGTATTGAGAGCTGTGTTGGAGTATTGAGGGCTGTGTTGGGCTGTTGAGAGCTGTGTTGTAGTATTGAGGGCTGTGTTGTATTGAGAGCTGTGTTGGAGTATTGAGAGCTGTGTTAGAGTATTGAGAGCTGTGTTGGAGTATTGAGGGCTGTGTTTGAGTATTGAGGGCTGTGTTGGAGTATTGAGAGCTGTGTTGGAGTATTGAGGGCTGTGTTGTAGTATTGAGGGCTGTGTTGGAGTATTGAGGGCTGTGTTGGAGTATTGAGGGCTGTGTTGAGTATTGAGAGCTGTGTTGGAGTATTGAGGGCTGTGTTTGAGTATTGAGAGCTGTGTTGGAGTATTGAGGGCTGTGTTGGAGTATTGAGAGCTGTGTTGGAGTATTGAGGGCTGTGTTGGAGTATTGAGAGCTGTGTTGGAGTATTGAGAGCTGTGTTGGAGTATTCAGAGCTGTGTTTGAGTATTGAGGGCTGTGTTGGAGTATTGAGAGCTGTGTTGGAGTATTGAGAGCTGTGTTGTAGTATTGAGAGCTGTGTTGGAGTATTGAGGGTGGTGTTGTAGTATTGAGGGCTGTGTTGGAGTATTGAGAGCTGTGTTGGAGTATTGAGGGCTGTGTTGGAGTATTGAGGGCTGTGTTGGAGTATTGAGGGTGGTGTTGTAGTATTGAGGGCTGTGTTGGAGTATTGAGGGCTGTGTTGGAGTATTGAGAGCTGTGTTGGAGTGTTGAGGGCTGTGTTGGAGTATTGAGGGCTGTGTTGGAGTATTGAGGGCTGTGTTGGAGTATTGAGAGCTGTGTTGGAGTATTGAGAGCTGTGTTGTAGTATTAAGGGCTGTGTTGGACTATTGAGGGCTGTGTTGGACTATTGAGAGCTGTGTTGGAGTATTCAGAGCTGTGTTGGAGTATTGAGGGCTGTGTTGGAGTATTGAGGGCTGTATTGTAGTATTGAGAGCTGTGTCGGAGTATTGGGGGCTGTGTCGTAGTATTGAGGGCTGTGTTGGAGTATTGAGAGCTGTGTTGGAGTATTGAGGGCTGTGTTGTAGTATTGAGAGCTGTGTTGGAGTATTGAGGGCTGTGTTGGAGTATTGAGGGCTGTGTTGGAGTATTGAGGGCTGTGTTGTAGTATTGAGGGCTGTGTTGGGCTGTTGAGAGCTGTGTTGTAGTATTGAGGGCTGTGTTGTATTGAGAGCTGTGTTGGAGTATTGAGAGCTGTGTTGGAGTATTGAGAGCTGTGTTGGAGTATTGAGGGCTGTGTTTGAGTATTGAGGGCTGTGTTGGAGTATTGAGAGCTGTGTTGGAGTATTGAGGGCTGTGTTGTAGTATTGAGGGCTGTGTTGGAGTATTGAGGGCTGTGTTGGAGTATTGAGAGCTGTGTTGGAGTATTGAGAGCTGTGTTGGAGTATTGAGGGCTGTGTTGGACTATTGAGGGCTGTGTTGGACTATTGAGAGCTGTGTTGGAGTATTCAGAGCTGTGTTGGAGTATTGAGGGCTGTGTTGGAGTATTGAGGGCTGTGTTGTAGTATTGAGAGCTGTGTCGGAGTATTGAGGGCTGTGTCGTAGTATTGAGGGCTGTGTTGGACTATTGAGAGCTGTGTTGGAGTATTGAGGGCTGTGTTGTAGTATTGAGAGCTGTGTTGGAGTATTGAGGGCTGTGTTGTAGTATTGAGGGCTGTGTTGGGCTGTTGAGAGCTGTGTTGTAGTATTGAGGGCTGTGTTGTATTGAGAGCTGTGTTGTAGTATTGAGAGCTGTGTTGGAGTATTGAGGGCTGTGTTGTATTGAGGGCTGCGTTGGAGTATTGAGGGCTGTGTTGGAGTATTGAGAGCCGTGTTGGAGTATTGAGAGCTGTGTTGGAGTATTGAGAGCTATGTTGGAGTATTGAGGGCTGTGTCGTGGTATTGAGGGCTGTGTTGGAGTATTGAGAGCTGTGTTGGAGTATCGAGAGCTGTGTTGTAGTATTGAGGGCTGTGTTGGAGTATTGAGGGCTGTGTTGGAGTATTGAGGGCTGTGTTGGAGTATTGAGGGCTGTGTTGTAGTATTGAGAGCTGTGTTGGAGTATTGAGGGCTGTGTCGTAGTATTGAGGGCTGTGTTGGAGTATTGAGAGCTGTGTTGGAGTATTGAGGGCTGTGTTGTAGTATTGAGAGCTGTGTTGTAGTATTGAGAGCTGTGTTGGAGTATTGAGGGCTGTGTTGGAGTATTGAGGGCTGTGTTGGGCTGTTGAGAGCTGTGTTGTAGTATTGAGGGCTGTGTTGTAGTATTGAGAGCTGCGTTGGAGTATTGAGGGCTGTGTTGTATTGAGGGCTGCGTTGGAGTATTGAGGGCTGAGTTAGAGTATTGAGAGCCGTGTTGGAGTATTGAGAGCTGTGTTGGAGTATCGAGAGCTATGTTGGAGTATTGAGAGCTATGTTGGAGTATCGAGAGCTATGTTAGAGTATTGAGGGCTGTGTTGGAGTATTGAGAGCTGTGTTACAGTATTTAGAGCTGTGTTGGAATTTGAGTATGAAGTAGGCCTACTGGTAATATAGAGAACTGTGAGTGGGATTGTTATGAGTGAAGTACTGATATTATATATTGGAAACAGAGGTTTGGTATTGAGAATCACAGAAGTGCAGTTTTAGGGCAGCCCTCAGTGCTCTCTGAACAAAAGAAGAGTCGTGAAAACAGCTGCAGTTGTGTTTGAGTGACGGATGGTGTTATGTAAGCAAATAAGGTTTGGTGTGTTTGACTGTAAATATGTAATCTCTCTCTCTCTCTCTCTCTCTCTCTCTCTCTCTACGCAGTATAAATGGCAGGTCATTGTTGATGGCAGGCCCCTAAAGGCCCGAGTGTAAACAGCAGCAGCAGCATGGCCTCCTTTACCTCCATGGACAGACACATCCAGCAGACCAACGACAGACTGCTCTGCATTAAACAGGTAAACAGTGGGCTATTTAACATCTACAGCAGGGTTTATCTTCTCTCCTTTCTTCTCTCAACATGCAATAAGGTTCATAACCAACTGGTAATAAATGAAATGCTGTCCTCTTAAAAAAATGACTAAAGTGCTTAATCCAAAAAATACTTATAGGCAAAGCATGTCAGACAGTATTTGTATAGTTTGCTTTAGTAAAGTGGTCGATAACCACCACTTTACTACAGTCATCTGTCCTCTCGTTTGGCAGGTCAGTAACCTATCGAGCAGGGTAATGCCAGGTGATCAGGGTGATGCTTATTGACATGCTGGCATTGAAAGAAAGCATTTTCTTTTAGAGGTGGGCGTTATGGCAAAATGTAGTATCACGATACTTCAGGACGTTTTTTACGATACACTAAATGTCACAATATTTATTTTTTTATGGCACCTGAAAAGTTAGAACAGACAAAGTTGTGCCTCATTTGTATAATTGAACAATCAAGTAATTATTCGAATAATTATTTGTACTCAGCTTTTGACACAGTGAGTTCGTTTACATGCATTTCATAATCCGATAACAGCAGAAAATCGGATTTTGTCTGTAATCCGATCAACAACTTTACATGCTCTTGAGTAATCAGATAATGGGGCAACTCCAGGTCCACGAGTCAGACAGTAATCAGGTTTCTGCTTTCCAACCAGCTAATAAACTCACAGAAGAAGACGTGACATAAATGAAACGTAAAACTCAAACTTCATGCTGCGGCTTTTTTTATTACATCATTTTATTACATATTTACCTGAAAATATGAACAGACATCATCTAGAAGATGAAGAAAATTAATCCTTCATTTCATTGAGAATGTATTTGGTTTCGGCGTCGCCGAGAGACGCAGCAAAACACTTTTGGAGCGACGCTGAAACCAAATACATTCTCATGCTCGCTTATTTCCGGTACCGCCGTCTGATTTCACACATGCGCAGACTGAGAAATACGAAGGAAATCAGAGTAAGAGTTCACATGCACTGAGAATCTGATTACTGAGGAAAATCCAGCCTCTTTATCAGATTTCTTAATCAGATTTCTAGATCAGAGTATGGTGTTTACATGACCATTTGAAAAATCGTGTAACTGCAGAAATCCGATTATGATTGATTAAGCACATGTAAACACTCACTGTTGCACTAAATCCGATTTTGCAGGACTAACTCTGCTCTTTTTTAATCAAATAGGCAGCTGGGAAGTGTTTTTAAGTAGTGATAATATTCACAAAAAGCTCAGAAAAGCACATTGTGGCTTATTGTGATGTAATTATCACAATACTGATAAATGTTGTCATATTTCAGAGCTCTATCTTTTGTGCCTTATTTCAGAGTGATGGTCTGCAGAGATGGGAACCAGGGAGGAAAGATTAGTGATTTTATATTGAAATGCAATTTGAAAGAGTGCAATTTTATTATAGCTTATATTCTCAGCAGCATTGTCTTAACAGACTTTAAGCGAGGTAATTTAATCCAATAACATGGGCCAGGAAATCTGCCTTTAAATGAGTCAGAGCAATAAAAAGCAACCAAATATGACATCCTAACCACAACTGGCAGCCTGACGCACTTCAAACCTCAGTCAGAAGAGGATTTGCTGGTGTTCTTGGCTAAAATAACAGGCCTTAAGCTTATTTTGTTGAAAGTAATTGCAATTTAAATCCCAATCACAATATTGGTAAGAAAACCCAGAGGAAGGAGTTACTCTAAATGAATCTCCTCTTGATCTCAGGTTCTTCTGCTGGACACAGTTAAGTCCAGTTTGAGATCAGAGTAAGACTGAAACCGTTTTCTCGTGTTTCTGAAATTCGGCTCCTGAGAAATAAAACTCAGATTTGCTCACTTTGATTAAAATGCTGTCACACATGTGCCTTAACTCTCTACTGTCTGACTCGTCTCAGTCCAGTCTCAGCTGAGTAATATCTCCATAGGAACAGTGTGAGATCTCATCGTTCTCTTATGGAGCTCTGTTCTAGATCACAGAACCCCCTCAGCAGTCTGTCAGTGCAGAAGGAGAACTCACGCTTTCCTCATTCATCACCCGAACGTCTCACAGTGAGAGGCTGATGTTAGTCTCCTCTTTTCTCCTGAGGAGGTTCAGGAGAAACAGCTCAGAAATCAGTGATCCTTCATTAACAGTGTTTTCACACATAGTTCGTTTTAAAAGAACCGAACCGAGTTCTGTTAAAGTGAACCTGGAAGGGAACCAACTGCAAGTGACCTCAGTTCTTTTTGTGTTCACAATGTAAGTGAACTCTAAAGAGGACTCTGGTCCATCGAGATCTCAGACCACTTCTTGTTCAGACCACAGCTCCATTAGAACTCGGACCCCTTTCACAGCACTCACGGTGAGCACAGCCCTCGCCAAGTGGGCCGCGTTCTCTGATAAATCCGAGCTATCAGGTGACGAGAAGAACCGCCAGACCCGCCTGCTGCTCTCCTAATGGCCGCGCTGAAACGATGGGCCGAAGTCCATCGCGCAAAATTGGAAACACGGCCCTGCGGGTCTGCCGCGGTGGGCTCCGTTTTCGGCTGGGCTCCTCACTGAAGCTCCACCCGGCGAATCTTCATTCATTCAGCGTTCAGAGTGAAAGCAGCTGAGAATTGCGTTGCGTGCCCAGCTCGAGCCTTTAACACGGTAAAATCACGTGAGCTCTCGCATCTGATCGCTTTAGTAAGTCAGCGCTGCTGTCTGTCTCAGACCACGGACAGACTGTATCCTGAGCAGAACCTTATAAACCTGGTCTGTTTTACCTGCTAAAGTGAAGACTGTGGCTGTGTGTACGGCGAGCATCGAGGTCTTCACCATAAGGCAAAGCTGAAGCGGACTGGGGCCGTTTTGTTTTCACAATGCACAAATTAATCGAACCACAAAACGAACTACAAACGAACCGAACTGAGACCACCTCGAGAGTTTGGGGGGTCTGAGTTCGTTTGGCGTGTTCACATATGCAAAAGAAACCATGACTCAGCGGTCTGAGTCCACTTCAGACGCTGAAACGGCCCAAGTGTGAAAACGCCCTAAGATAATATTCAGATCTGCTTTATTTCTCTGAGACAATCTTAAGAAAGATTTTTTTTCTTCTGGGAAATCACAATTCTCCGAATCGCTCAGCCCTAATGGGAACTCCAGTCAGCGACTCGGACTTGAGTCACACTTGAGTCACATTTTGACCTGATTCAATTCACCCTTAAATGACTCACGACTCGACTTGAGCCCAAGACCTACGACTCTCAGCCTGAAAAAGAAACCAAAACAAAAGTGATTAAATCTGGACCTCCAGCCTAAAATTCTTTACTAAAGACTCAAAACTTGAGCTCGGACCCCAGAGACAGCGGATGCGTGAGAATACAGGGCTCTTTTTCTCAGGAGAAATATCCAAGAAGTCTCATTTTCTGTCTGTCTGATCTCAGTAAGATAAGATAAGGTAAAGATAATCCTTCATTAGTCCCACAAAGGGGAAATACTGCTACAGCAGTAAAGGGATGACAAGGCACTCAAGAAAAGAGTAACAAGAAGAGAATAAACAAATAAGATATTAACCTTGATAACTACTTATACAGTTGTTACTTGTTCCCATATAGACAATATATATTACACCAAAGACAAAAATATAAACTCTATCCTTCATATAAACTCTATTCACAAAAATTAACAATATAAACTAAAAAAAAATAAATAAAAAAAAATATTTACACTGTAAGGATATTTCACCCGAATTGCACATGAAGTAGTAATAATGATGATGAATTAACAATATAAACAATATAAACAGAAAAGCAAAAAAGATCTTTACCCTATAGAGATGGGCCTCAATTACAAGTATCCTCCTAAGTTTGTTCTTAAGTGTGTTCTTGAGAAAGATCCTAAGAAAAGTCTACGTCAGATTCATGTCGTGTTCTTAAAGCGCAGATCTGTTCTCACCTTTGTGCTCTTGAGTGTGTGTAGATTCAGTTCTTACCTAAGAACAAATCCCAGATAAGAGAAGACTGGTGAGTCAGAATCTTCGTCAGAACTGCGGAAGTGGGTTTAAGAAGGAATTTCTTCAGAAATTCAACGAGGCCCAATGTTGTCTGTGGTGACATTAAGATTTCTTTTTTAGTTCGTTAAGTGACACTTATTAGTCCCACAACGGGGAAATTTAAACTCTGCTTTTAACCCATCCGTGCAGTGAAACACCACATACACATTAATGAAAACACACACTAGGGGGCAGTGAGCACACTTGCCTGGAGTGGTGGGCAGCCCTATCCACAGCACCCAGGGAGCAGTTGGGGGTTGGGTGTCTTGCTTAAGGGCACTTCAGTCATGCACTGTCGGCTCAGGGAATCGAACCGGCGACCTTCCGGTCACAAGGCTGGTTCCCTAACCTCCAGCCCACGACTGGCCCCCATAAAGGCGTGTCACCCCTGTTTCTTTCGTGTAAGACAGCCTTAACTAATAACAGTGCGTTAGAGGCCACATAATCTAGTCTATTAGAGATGACTTAAACACAATCCACATGGTTTGAGGCCGATGATAACTGAGGCATTGATGTCAGTTGGCAGGTTGTAAGCTTCCATCACCTGTTAGCTACATTAGCCTCGTAGCTCTGGTGCTAAAACTACAGAAGCAAACTTCAGACACCAAATGTGACTCAGCTGATCAGCTACATTTGGCTTAAGAGAGCAAAAAACTGGGTGAATTAGACTTTTTGTCAAACTGGTTTTTTAATGTATCACCACAGCCTCCTGGTGTTGTAATATCATTGCTAATGTGTGTTAAATTGTGTTGTTGTTTGTTTATTTGTTTGTTTATTTCCTTGTTTGTCTTGTTTTCCAGCACTTACAGAACCCAGCTAACTTCCAGACGGCAGCGACGGAGCTGCTGGACTGGTGTGGAGATCAGCGGGCGTTTCAGAGGCCCTTCGAGCAAAGCCTCATGGGATGCCTAACGGTGAGCTCAAGATGTTTATCTAGCAAACCACAGCACTCGGTGGAGTTTACAAGTACAAATTATTCATTCTTTCTCTGTCGTTAACAGAAAATCACACAGAAGCCTCAACAGCTAAATCTAATCTCAGCTGTTCAGTGTTCAGTGACTCTTTCCCTTTATTCCAGCGTCCATTCTGTTCCCAGACCCACTTTCAGTTCCTCAAAGAATCTGCAGACACACCTCCAAAGTTCAGTCTTAGAAGCTGGTTGATGATTTTCTGAAGTAATCAAACACATTCAGTGGTGTTGAGGTCTGGACTCTGGGGTGGTTCTTTGTTTGATGTGTCCGTCTCCTTTTCTCAGTGAGGGCTTTTAATGTGTTAACTATTTAACACATTGCAGTACTGGAGTACTTACTGAATACTGGGAAACTTGTCCAGTAAGTTTTGGGCCAAAATAATTCTAGTTTGAGATATTCGTATGAATGTGAAAGCATGAAAACCTTGTTTTAAAATGTGATACTGGAAAGAAACACATTTCAGAATTCTGGGGCACAAATGAGGTAAATATTTAGATTATTTACAAAATATAGAGATTCATTAATTTCACATTCGATGTTATTATTCATATTTTATATTTATTTTTTCTGAAAAATCTTCAGTAAAATGTTTGTTTTTATGTCTCATATATATATCATATATATGTGTGTGTGTGTGTGTGTAACAAAAAACCATATATGTATGTATATACTGAATATATATATATATATATATATATATATATATATATACAAAATTCCCTGACTGTGTGAATCTGAGCATTTCCTCAGTTACAGTAATTATAACCCATATTATATTTATATTGTGAGTTTAGCCTCCAATTACAGTGTAGCACACCCCACTTTACATGTTAGAATCCTAATTAGAATACACACACTCATATATCACTGCAGTGTGTGTGTGTGTGTGAGAGAGAGAGAGAGAGAGAGAGAGGGAGAGAGAGAGGGAGGGTGTGTGTGTTTACGAGAGATAATAACACCCTCTGATGTGACGGATGGAGGAGTGAAACCATCTAAAAATCTAAAATAAAATAGGCAAAAGAAAATAGTGATTAAAATGAATAATCGCCCATGAAAATGTCAAATGATCCAATTAACAAAACAGAGAAGAACTCAAGTGAAACGATGTGTTTTAAAGTTTTTTGTTTTTTAATATATAATAAAAGTTATAATATATATAAAATATACTGACGTGTGTTCAAGTAGAATTTGTTTTTCTGTCTTTAATGTTTTCTGTCTGTGTTCATGGTGTATTATACACTGTTATTTTGCTATTTCTTCTACCTTATGCATCCACTAACTGGCCACCCTCTCATTGGCCACTTTATTAGAAACACCTTGCACTTCCACTAACTGCCCACTTCATTAGAAACACCCATCTTGTACTTCCACTCACTGACCACTTTATTAGAAACACCTACCTTGTAGTTCCACTCACTGACCACTTTATTAGAAACAACTACCTTGTGCTTCCACTCACTGACCACTTTATTAGAAACACCTACCTTGTAGTTCCACTCACTGACCACTTTATTAGAAACACCTACCTTGTAGTTCCACTCACTGACCACTTTATTAGAAACACCTACCTTGTAGTTCCACTAACTGACCACTTTATTAGAAACACCTACCTTGTAGTTCCACTCACTGACCACTTTATCAGAAACACTTACCTTTTTCTTCCACTAACTGACCACTTTATTAGAAACACCTACCTTGTAGTTCCACTCACTGGCCACTTTATTGGAAACACTTACCTTTTTCTTCCACTAACTGACCACTTTATTAGAAACACCTACCTTGTGCTTCCACTCACTGACCACTTTATCAGAAACACATGCTTTGTGGTTCACGACCCAAATAGCACCTCTGTGGTCAGCAACTGACCACTGATGAAAGATTGGATGGTTAACACAAACTGTACTTCAGCAGATGATCTGCAGTCTCTAACTGTACAGTAAAGTGGAGCTACAGGAGAGGGGTCTCTCTGAGGACGCTGATTGTTTCTGATAAAGTGGCCTCTGTTTATAGAGGTTTATAAACTGTATATAAAGTGTATATACTGTGTGTTAGTCAGTTTAAATTGGAGAATGTGAATATGAAAGATAATTAATGCTAATCAATCAACGTCCTCTCTCTCTCTCACTCTCTCTCTCTCTCTCTCACTCTCTCGCTCTCTCAGGTGGTGAGCCGTGTATCTACTCAGCGGGGGTTTGATATGGATCTGGGTTACAGGCTGTTGGCTGTTTGTGCTGCAAACAGGGACAAATTCACCCCCAAATCAGCAGGTAGGACTCGGCTGGGTCTCCACTACTCTGACCTCGCTGTCCCTGATACTCTCACGCTTTCAGCTTGAGTGGATGTGAAGTGGATGTACTTATTTTACGTGCACATATAAACATTTGCTGCAACTGTTTCATGTTCCATTTAAAGACATATTACTCTGTGATTTTGTTTTATATGATTGACTCCACCCACAAAATAAACAATGCACTGAAGTTATTTGCTTCAAATCTCCACTTGAATAAAATATATTACATCAAAAAATAATAATAATAATAATGCAAAACACAGCTCATACACAATAATACAGAGTTTCAGTGTTATTTTAGGAGAATAATCACTCTACACAATCACATCATTGTACATTGTGTCTCAAAATAAACTAAGACATTTGGTTTATTTCACATTTTATTTTTTCAGTTATCATAATTTTAACACTATAGTTTGGTCAGCAGGGGAAGCAGTGCACTCACTGACCTCAAACTCTGTCTACAAGCACAGCCTTTGGCTCATGAGCTGCTGAACCCAAACATCTGCATGATTTATGGTGAACTTCTTGCAAATGATATGTAAATGAGGTGCTGATCGGCTGGCGCTTGATTTCACGCACTAGAGCTGATTGCACTCAAATCTCGAACATCATTTAACGCCGTTAACATCGTTTAACGTCATTAAAGACGGTCAAATCTGCACTCTTTTTTTACGCAACTGTGATGAGTTAAGGCAGTTGTTTCCTCACATATGCTTTGGCCTGTACAGTACATTTAGAAAACATTATATACGTCAATACAGATCAGGGGTCGCAACCCGAATGTTAAGAAGAGCCATTTTGTCCTTTCAGCTAAAATCAAATCACATTGAGAGCCACAACATTTTATGTCCATTTTGCTACCTTGGCTGTAAATATGTGTGTGCTGATGTTCTAGTACAGGCAAAAAAATATAATAGAAACGAAAACGCAGACTTACTTTGCTCTGCTTTAAGCTTTAGCTCAGCTATAGCCACTTTTCTCGCATCTCCGTCAGGAGACTTTTCCACAAAAATAGAACAGTTTCTTTTAAAATGTCTCTCAGTGTTCGAGTTTTTATGAGGCTGAAGTCGCTGCTCATTCGCCAGCTTCTTGTGTGAATTTTCCCGTTCCACCTTAAATGGTGTCTGAGGCGCCAGAATGTACCTGCTGCACCATTTAAGGTGGAACGAGACAATTCGAACAAGAAGCTGGCGAATGAGAAACTGACTTCAGCTTTGTGACTTTTTAGTGTTTGTCAGTTTCTCTTGCAGATTAAACGTATCAGGAAACCAGCTGGAGTGATTATAAACGTAAATAAGTCCATTCGTCTCTAAATTATCGATGTTCGTCTTAAATCTCTCTCTTTGCCGTTTCTACTAGCTAAGCGAGATTGTTATCTGTGTTGCTATGGTGACCAGCAGTCTGCGCTGATCTTCAGGGTTAAAGGGTGAATCAGCAGTTCTACATTAACTCCAGAGTTTAAGACCATTTATTGTTAAACTGTGTTGAACGATCAGCAGAGCTTTATTTTACTGTAAAGGAGGATTATTTTATTTTTACCTACAGATCTGATTCAGCTGTGGAGCCACAACAGGGCAGTAAAAGAGCCGCATGTTGCCGACCCCTGTTATAAACACAGGCAAAACGTGGTCGTAAACGTGGAAAGCCTCAGTGTAGCCTGTGACTAGGAAGCTTGAGCTGCATGTTGTAGCGATGGGTTGTTTTGAATTTAGAGGTCATCGGTGTCGAAGAGATTTTGTCTTTTTTCCGATGTAATCCAGCGGAGGATAATTGGCTGTAATTGCCGTGTTTACTGTGGTGATGGAGGTGTCTGCCTTATCGTCTGAGAATGTTTCTGACCTCAACACTGAGCTCCTAAATCACCACCAGAATGTTTGTGTTGTTTTGCTGTGGAATATGTCTGTGTTTGAACTCGGAGCAGCAAAAAGACACAGTGCTGTGGTGCAGTGTGGTTGTGTCCTGATTAGAGTCTCTGAAGCATCTCATACAGAGAAATTCTGAAGTTTACAGTTCCTTTGTACCCATTTAGACATATTTCTGCTTCAGGAAATGACAGACTACAATTATATACCGTCTAAAGAGTGTTCAGGGCCAGATTCGCATAAGCTTTCCAGCTTGAATCTTATGGGAATATTCATAAATGCAATTCTTGAGAATGTCCTCAGATATTCCTCTACGTATCTTAACCCTCTGGGGTCCACAGGCTCACCTGCGTATCAAATTCTCTGTTCCTTTATCTGTGTCTGTATCTTTGTGATGATTCAGCACAGAAATCCAGTTCAAACACTTCCTGAATCTGTAGAGTCGCCCTTTCCATTCCATCTCATCACGAGATCATACGAGACTCACATCCGGAGTTATGAGCCTATGAAGAGGGGCTGAGATACACGTTATCTGCCTCTCACCGTGTGGAACTGGTGGATTCGTGTGTCCATCTACATTCTATGTGAAACCGACCAATGGACACTCAGGAAATCACTAAGCACTGACCATCACGCCAGAAACCCTTCGTTCTTCATTCAGTCCACATCGGAGACTCATGTGAAACGGCGTGCAGAGAGTTTACAGCTGCTGAAGCTGCTGCAGCGGTTTTGGAAAGTAGTGATGAAGATAACGGAGCATTTAGATATGAAACATATGAGGATCATGTCATATGAAGAGCCTTTAGAGGGAGAGTTTAAGAGGATATGAACAAATCAAGAACATCTACAGATATATCTCTTATATAAAACACAAATATGAGTTCATGACGTAGTTTTCGAAATACTTTGACAGCACTCAGTCTCACCTGCTAGGTGATGGTAATGAGTTCAGAATTGGAGAATGGAAGCTAAAGGCCTTTACGCACTGAGCGTAATTCATTCGTAATTAGTAATTAAATCGAGCGTGTGTGTAAGTGACGGTATCTTGTACACCAAACCTGATTTTGCAGACGTGTGACATTATTTTATACTCCCTCTGTCTGATTTTTCCAAACTTTCAGACCAATCACAGCTGCTTCTGCTGTTGGCACGGTGACAGCTAAGATGTTGGAGCATCTCTGTTTCAGCAACTGGAACTATTTCACAAACGCTAACGGATCAGAATCTCCAAAAGCAGCTCAAACTAATCTACAAACACTGATTTAAAGTTTGAGCTCCTGAATGAGGCGCAGAAACTCTGCAATCTCCTTTTGCTTTTCTGAAAAGTGGACAGCATCCTGCAAAATGTCCCAGTTTGTCTGTTTCATGAGCAGCAAAGAACCTTTTGATAGATATTCAGCCCGTTTTTTTCGCAGTGCAAACAACATGGCGGAAATTTGTTGTTTGGTATGTATAGTTTTCATGCGAAAATATTGTGTCTGAAGATTTTGCATTATTTTTCTATGTCACATTCGGTGTGTAATGGGTTTAACAGTGTTATTCACCCAAATTAGCTGTGTTACCTTCATTATTGGTATGGAATCAGATAGATAGCAATATCAACATCATTAATCTGCTGTGTTAGCTATTTTGGTTTCAGTGTTGGGATGGAGAGTGGAGGCTAAAAATAGCTTTGTTGTTCAGCCAAGTTAGCTGAGTTTGCTTAATATTGGTATGAGTTGAAGCTGTTTGTAGAGCAATACTGTTAGTTTGCCAAGTTAGCACCCAGGGAAGGGTACGGCCCTGCTTGGCACAGACGGACAGGTACTCTGTGTTTGTTGCTTGAACTTCTGTGAAAAATTAGTGATATACATTCAGAAAAATATGGGCCCAGATGGCCTTTTAGTGGTCTTAACAACAAATAATTAGTCAGTAAATTAGGCAAATAGCTGCAGTAGGTTAGTATAGGAGCTTCTCCCTTTGTTTTCTTTAAATATTGAAGCTTTATGTGTAAATGAAGTGCCCTTGATTGAGGCACCTAACCCCCAACTGCTCCCCGGGTGCTGCGGATAGGGCTGCCCACCGCTCCAGGCAAGTGTGCTCACTGCACCCCTAGTGTGTGTGTTCACTAGTGTGCATGTATTAGGGTGTTTCACTGCACGGGTGGGTTACATGCGGAGGTCTAATTCCTCTGTGTGCAACACACAGTTGGCTAATGGTTCTGAATTCAATTCAGTTCGTCCAGATGACCCTTTTTGACACAAGTGTGTTTTTCACTGCTGTTGGAAATGAAGTACCATGACTGAAAAGTGCTCCTTTAGCCAATTTTAAACTGCATGTTTAGGTTGAAAAGAAATCAGTGTTTCTGCTGGATTCATATAAAAAAGCACCATTTGTCATCACAGCTGACCAATCGGTATCTCACTAGTCAGTCTTTCATACGACATGGAGAAAAAGATCATCATTTATGGTGTCCGTCCCAAACCCTTAACCCTCAATTTCTTGTTAAAGTTCTTGTGACTTTTTTCAATGTTTGTTTTTAAGATCTTTTTGATTTCTAGTAAATTGAAGTTGAAAGATTTTAAATTTATCATGAGTTTAATTTTTAAGTAAAAAAAAAAAACTATTCCAAAATTGCTGTCCCATGTTTTCGTGTCACTACCAGAACACAAAGGGTTTTGTTTGTGGGCGGGGCCTTATTTTAGCCACACCCCTGCATTTTAGAGCAGGAAATGAGGCTGCATCCCTGTCCCTCATGGCCACATGGTGAACAGTTAGATCCCATTGTTTTGAAGTAAATCTGTCCCAACGTCTGAAAATCAGTGTGGAACGTTAAGAACAGTCACTACCAAAACAAAGATTTTCTGTAGTTCAGTAAACGTTTTGCATTTTAATAAAAAACATTATGATTCATCTCCCGAGTGGCGCAACCGTCTAATCGTTAGCCCTCATCAGGTGATCGCGAGTTCGATCCCTGATGCTACAGCCGTCCGTAGCCGGGAGTCAGAGAGAGCACACTTGGCCTCGCTCTCTCTGGGTGGGTAGGATGGCCCCTCCTTCTCCCCCCATCACTCAGCGCGATGCTAGTCAGCGCAGGCGTCTGTTAGCTGGCGTAACAGATCTGGCGGTTGGC